GGACACGGGGCACCGGGGATGGCAACCCACGGGGGGGACACAGGGACACGATGGCACCGGGGATGGCGGCACACGGGGGACACGGGGACATGATGGCACCGGGGAGGGCGGCACACAGGGACACGGGGATGGCAGCCCCCCCCGGGGGACACGATGGCACCAGGGATGGCAGCATGTACGGGACACGGGGCACTGGCGATGGCATCACACAGGGGACATGGGGTGGGGCACACAGGGACGGCAGCCCCCGGGGGGACACGATGGCACCGGGGATGGCAGCCCACAGGGGACACAGGACACGAAGAGACAGCAGCCCACAGGGGACACGATGGCACCAGGGATAGCAGCGCACAGGGGACACAGGGATGGCAAGCCACGGGGGACACAAGGCACCAGGGATGGCAGCACACGGGGGACACGGGGACATGATGGCACCAGGGATGGCAGCATGTAGGAGACACAGGGCACTGGCGATGCCAGCCCACGGGAGACACAGGACACAATGGCACCAGGGATGGCAGCACACAGGGCACACGTGGCACCAGGGATGGCAGCACGGGGGGCACCGGGCATATGGCACACTGCACACCCAGCGCTGGGCACGCACGGCCCCAGCTGTGCCAGCACCCAGAACCCCAGGGACTCTGGGGACAGCAGCACATGGGACACTGGGCACCCCCAGCACCAGGCACCTGGGACACCGGGCACACAGGACAGCAGGCACCGGGGGCACTGGTGGCTTAAGGGACACATGGCACAGGGGGGAGGGCAGCACACAGGGGCCACATGGGCCACAGCAGGGAGAGGGGTGCACAGGACCCTGGGCACAGGGAAGGGTGGTACAAGGGACACGGGGCACCAGAGATGGGAGCGGACGGGGACACAGGGCAGGAGGGGTGGCAGCACCGGGGACCAGGCTTATGCAGCACTGCATGCCCAGCACCGTGCGCACCAGGCATCCCAACACCAAGGACAGGGCAGACACCACACCCCAGGTGTGACAAAACACTGGCCACGCCAACACCAGGGCAAGGGACACCACGCACAGCAGGCACCGCAGGCGTCGACCCCGGCACTGCGCGTGCCACCACCAGCCCCAGGGGACACGCCAGGCGCCGTGCTCGGTACCCCAGCACACACTGGGCACGGAGCAGGCAGGCCCCAGACAAACCCACACCAGGTACCGCATGCGCAGGGCACCGCTCCCTGCGCACCTGCAGGCAGGGGACATCGGGCACAGGGCACCACGCACAGCCAGGAAAGCTGGCGCTGAAGTCATTGTCACTTGGCTGTCGCGTACTGCGCAGGCCGGGCGCCGCTGCGGCTTCGTCCGGTGCTTGCAGCGCAACCCCACAGCACTTGCCCCTTTGCTCAGCGTTCACACCCTGCAACTCGCACCCGACCTTGGACTCTGGCGGTGCACCGCGCGTCCCTAGGGTTCGAAACGCCTCCTGCCTCCCCTTCCCCCAGGCCACGCTCAGCCACGAACCAAAGGATTGGCTGAAGTGACCTGTGCAGGACAGCGAGGGGAAACGAGGGAGGAAATTAAACCCCAAACCAGCAAGGCTGAATGTTTCCTGGTGATTCGTCCTGTCGTTTTTTTTTTTTGTTGTTTTGTTTTGGGTTTTTTTGGGTTTTTTTGTTTTTTTTGGTTTTTTTTTTTTTTTTTTTCTGACTGGGGTCTCTACCTTGGGGAAGGTGGGCGCACACACCCCTTCCTGGTGATTCGTCCTGTCGTTTTTTTTTTTTGTTGTTTTGTTTTGGGTTTTTTTGGGTTTTTTTGTTTTTTTTGGTTTTTTTTGTTTTTTTTTCTGACTGGGGTCTCTACCTTGGGAAAGGTGGGCGCAAACACCCTCAGCGTAGGCTACTGGGACAGGATGCCGCTCAGACCTTCCTTCCAGCCCAGAACCACAGGTCACCCCCGTCTCAAAGCCTCTCCTTTTATGAAGGGAACAAGGGAAATACCCCAAAGTCTCACAACCCATCACGCTGGAGACGTTGCACTTGGCAGAGGAAAAACATCACCCGATCTGCACTCCCAATCCTGATCTTTATTAGTTACAGTTTCAGAGGGGATACAGTTTTCCTTCTAGATCTTGTTAAAAGCAGCAATGTCAACGCTTTGCACCTGAAAGAGAACAAAAGCAGCACCCAGAGGTCACCAAGGCGTTTTCTTTTCAGACATTTAAAACAGAGAAAGCACTCGCATCAGGGATTTCTTCACAGCATGCACTAGCAACGCCCAAACAGATCAAGTGTGGCCCAGGTCTCTTAGGCCAGCTCCCGGCTGTGGTAAGAGGACCTTTAGGGACCGTTATTTAATATTTCTAGCAACATCAGTCACAACAGCACTGTCCTCGTTACGGCACAAATCTTTAGCCAGTCCAGCCTACAAAGAACATCATATTAAGAATTTCTTAATTAAAAGTTCCTGATTTATTCTAAATATAAGCAAAAGAGTAGGCAAAGAAGATCAATAAAAACAGGTACCTGGCCTGCTGCTCTCCCAACAGCGAGACTGGGAGCGTTACAGAGCCTGCACGTTACCCGGCACAGGGCTGGAGCTCCCGCTCCCATTTCCATGGAAGGAGGAAGGATGGGGATGGAGACATCTCCTCCAGCCCCAGCCACAAGGTTAAACTTGGGCCAGGGCCAACTGTATGGGATTTAACAGGGCTCAGGGCCAGGTCCTGCACTTGGGGCACAACAACCCCAGGCACCGCTGCAGGCGTGGGGAGGAGCGGCTGGGAGCTGCCTGGCGGGAAAAGACCTGGGGGTGTTGGCTGACAGCCGGCTGAACATGAGCCAGCAGTGTGCCCAGGTGGCCAAGAGGGCCAGTGGCATCCTGGCCTGTATCAGGAATGGTGTGGCCAGCAGGAGCAGGGCAGGGATCGTCCCCCTGTGCTGGGCACTGGGGAGGCCGCCCCTCGAATGCTGTGCTCAGCGCTGGGCCCCTCACCCCAAGGCGGCCATGGAGGGGCTGGAGCGTGGCCAGAGCAGGGCAGCGAGGCTGGGGCAGGGGCTGGAGCCCAAGGCTGGGGAGGAGCGGCTGGGGGAGCTGGGGGGGCTCAGCCTGGAGAAGAGGAGGCTGAGGGGAGCCCTCATCGCT